TAGCCCCTGCAAATCAGAACAGACGTGAAAACCACATCCTGTATCAAGGACCCATGAACGAGAAGATAATGAGTTATTAGAAGAAATAGTGTAAATACCTGCTGAAGATGGCTTCACTTTGCCATCTTTGATATCCTGCATATATTTTGGGCAGCTTCTCTTCCAGTGCCCTTTGTCATTGCAATAAAAGCAATCAGCATCCTTTGGATCAGAAACATGGGGAATGGTAGCATTGGGCTTAGCCTTTGGTCCATTTGTAGATGACCCTGCTTGAGCCTTGCTCTTCCAATTTTGCTTAGGAGGACCTTTCCTCTTTTTCCCCTTTCCCTGTCCAATAGCCAAGACAGGGGCACTTGCAGGAGTGGAGGCTATACTTTTACCCTTCATCCCTGCTTCAGCTGTCTGCAAAAAGTTGTGCAATTGGGCCAGTGTCTGCTCAGTGTTGTTCAAATGGTAAGTTAGGATAAACTGACCATAACAATCAGGTAATGAGTTCAAGACCATGTCAATGGCCAATTCCTCATCAAAGTGAATGTTGAGCTTGACCAAACGCTCTATGTAGCATTGCATTCTTTGCACATGAGATACAACCGACTCCCCTTCTTTCATCTTGCAAGCCATGAGTGACTTGACTACTTTAAACTTTTCTTGACGAGCTCGCTTATGGTACTTTTCCATAAGGTCCTTGTTCATCTCAAAGGGCCAGTAGTCCTCATAGTACCTCTGCAGTTCTGGGGACATGGTTGCGACCATGATGCATGCCACTTTGGTAGCATTATCATAGTGTTTCTTGTAGGCAACATATTCTTCAAGAGTAGCTTTAGACTCATCAAGCTCTTTGATCTCCTTTTCAAGGACATACTCTTTGTCCTCAAATCGAAGCGCCATCTTGATGTTACGCATCCAATCGTTATAGTTAGAGCCATCCATAACGACTTTGGAGCAAATGTTGAGCAAAGAGAAGTTGTGGTTGGAGGATGATGAAGCATAAGTGTTTCCAGGAGTAGACATCTGAAAAGAAAGAAAGTTTTAGTTAGATAAGATACAAGGGTTAGGATCCAACTATGAAGATTCACAACTTAGAAATGGGATGCCGAGATCCAAGTGTAAATTTCATAAAGGTAGGTGAATGACGATTCACCAATTCCACCATTAGACGAAATAAACGAAGTGAAATTGCTAATTCCTTTTGAGATACATTGAAACTATTCAATGGCATATTTTAATCTCAGATTATGCTCTTCTATTTGTGACTGGGATACCGAGGATCACAAACTAGATGTGAATAACCATGCAAATGTGTTTGGTAACCTCATTGTCTTTGTCATTAACTATTGATGTGCCGGTAAACCACACACGCTCCACTAAAATGATAATTATGAGATACCCATTACTCCTCTTTATTAGTGCCAATTAGTGTGCTGTTAATCCACACACGCTCCACTAACGACCAATAAAGCATAATGTGCAATTTCATGGATTAACATACTTTTCACATTTTTCCTAAAGTAACTAGAGTTGGGATTTTGTAAAATAATGTTCTAGTACTTTATTTAATAACATTATACTTTTAATGAGATGTAGTTGCCCTATCAAATCCGTTCTGCTAACGACCCTCCACTAATCAAGGAAGCGGTGGATGAGAGTGGACACCCATTCAACTACCATTTTATAGGCAGTTTCCTTATACCCCCCCTTATAGACTAGCTTCGTGAATGAGGCATACTAGCGATTTGACTGACCATATTCTTATACATATATAATATTTAACTTTTAATTATAATATATATATATATATATATATATATATATATATAAGGTGTGTTTTAAACTTTTTAAAACTTTAGGGTTTATATATAAATTTCGAAAATTAAGCCATTAATTTTAAATTTAAAATAAACCAAATAACTAGATTTAATATTTATCTATTAATTAACTTTTAACTAATTTATTAAATCTTGTAAGGATTGTCTAATTAAATTAAACAATTAATTTAATCCTAATCCATATCCCTTCTAGATTTCGAAAATATGGGGATATGATAATTTCCTTATTTTTCTCAATTATCCAATAAGGCAACAATTATCCTAAAACAAGAAACCCTAAATTACCATGTAAATTTCGAAAATCAAGGGAGGAGGCTAGGGTTTCCAAAACCCTAACCCTAATTTCGATTAGGGTTCATGGAGGCTAGGGTTTTTCGAAAACCCTTTGAACCAAAACCCTAAAAATTGAAAATTTTGGCCTTTAGGGTTTAATAGCTATAAACCCTAATTTGCAATTCAACTATCATAGCAATTCAATTTAAAACAAACAATGGCTCTGATACCACTGATGGGTTTTAGGTGAAACAAATAAACTAGAAAACAATTCTTAAGTTCACATGCAACCTACTTTGGATCTATGTTTTAAATATTGAACATATAACTTTGAATTGCAAAACAAGAACCCTAGAGGAGAGAGGCTATTTTCGAAATTAACAAACTAGGGTTTTAGAATTACATACCTTTCAATTGTTATAGCAAACAATTGTTAATCCTCTTGAACTTGATCTTCTTGGAAGCCTAGCACCACAAATGTAATGCCTCTAATGGAGTCACACCCAAAAGCTAGCAAGAAGGAAACTTGAAGGAGAGAGAGTAGGGTATGCAAAATTTGGCCCTAGGGTTTCACAAAGAAAGGAGTGGTCGAATTTAGGAGCTGGGAGGCTCCTTATATAGCTGAGGGATCTAGGGTTTAGGGAAAACCCTAATACTCCTTTGCTTGGGGCCTAAGCTAATCCAAAGGCCTTATGCAAGCCCCTTGGACGAAATCCTTAGGGTTTCCCCTACAGATTTCGTCCACCTCCTTCCAAGGAGGTTCTGGAGCCTTCCACTCAACTATTTGATACATGCAAACTAGTCCCTGCACTTTATAATTAATACAATTAACCCCAAAATTAATTCTAATTAATTTCTGGCTAACTATTAATTAAACCTTATGATTTCTAATTAATATATTAATCTTTTAACATATTAATAAATCATTTATATTAATTTATTAATCTTATAATAAATCAATATCTCTCCTTTCATAATTTCCTTGTCCAGTTGCTAGGTTTAAGGGCAACCCAAAAGGACTGTGCTGCTATCAATTCAAGTACATACCAATTATAGTTATGGGTTTAGACACCTAATCCAACAGGATCATCTGTTCGGGTGGCTATCTCACCTTTGGTTACTTATGGCTACGCATTCTATGGAGGTTAGCTGGTAGCAGGATTGTATGTTATGAGAGGACTAGTAGGCAGTATTGAGTTGTATGATTGATGTTGCATGTATTATGTGCCTACGTGATCCTTGATTGTTCACATGTCGAAATGTTGTCTTTGGTTTGGGTTGAGACGGTCCTGCTTTGTGTTGTAGGCCAAGATAGTGGGTGCGGGTCGGCTGTAAGTCGTATGAACGAAGGCTCGGGAAGAACGCTAGGGTTGAGGCGGTAGGCCAAAAAACCCTGGGTATACCATCCCGATGGGTGATTGGACCCGTTGTATATTGACATTCCAACCTGGGGTATTCCATCTCGAGGATGACTGGACCCGGAGGTTGACTGGGCCTGGGGTATTCCAACCCGATGGTTAATTGGACCCGGCATGTTTGATTGTATATGTTATCTGTTTTTGTGGTGGTATTTTGGGGAAAACTCACTAAGCTTTATGCTTATCCAGTTGTTTATTTTTTCAGCTATCATCGGTATCTATGGGACGGGCGAAGGCGAGACTGTACACACTCATCAACAACATTGAGGATTTAGCATTTTCTATGATACTCTAATTTTTAATAAATATAATTTGGAATAAACGGATTTTTTAATAATGGATTTATAAATTGGGAAGTTTTACCTTAATAAAAATGAAAAGTTTTGATTGTGAAAATGGGACATTACAAAAAACCATAAAAACATAACGATACCCAAAAATGGCAATGTACCTTGATTCCCATATATGGACTTGTGCTTTGGTTCATTTAGTTTATTTCAGTATATGGAAGTGTACTTGATACTTTCAAATAAAAGAAATAATTATACCAAATAAGATATAATACTTTCAATAGAACACATACACAATACCAATTAACCAAACCATATGAAATATATTTCATTAATACCAATGAACATTAACACTACAACCAACTATTTTGGGTACAATAATCAGGGTAATCGATACCCCCAAAAAAAACCTTACATACGACTTATCCCACAAAACCACCAACAAAACACTAGTAAGCCCCACATTAAACCTTAAATAACATTTACCACTGAAATCAACAAAACCCAACACTAGTACCAAATACGACATCCACAAAAATGATTTCGGTAGACAACATATACAAACTACTTCCATGATCGACTAATCCAACTGAGACATGCACCCACCCCAACAATCAAAATCCACAAACTGAATTTAAACTTCATGTACGACCTCCAGCTGCTCTCTAACTACCATGAGCTCCTCATTCATGTGGTTTCTCAAAGTTTTCACTTCAACTTACATCTCCATAGCAAACACTCGTAATCAGTGGGGATATCCAAGTCGCACTTGTAGAAAGCACCGTATGAAAAACGACCAAACGAATCCATTATCATTGTGTTTCGAAATTATAAGAAGAAAGTAAATGAGAGAATAATTGTTGCTCGATAAGGGTAGCAATGTACAATGGTTTACCCTAATAAAGGTTTGGCTGCTTTTTATAGGGGACCACAAGACACGTAAGCCATCTTGGTCCCCAAGGGTGGTATTGTTCATATACGTGGCCCTCCAAATGTGCCAACCACTCTCCTACTTGGCAGTCTACATCAGATATAATTTAAATATGTTTCTCATTTACCTACTGTAAAAGGTTATGTGACTTATTTAACTGGTTAACTAGACTTCGTTATATAATGCTAGAAGAATGAGTGATATAAAATAGTTTCAAGAGGAGCTCAACATTCACTTAGTAATACATCTGTGAACTGGGGAGATGGACGGTCGCATAGCTAACCTAGCAGACTGGACGGAGGTTCGCCGGAGGAGAAAATCGACCCACGAAAGAGATGCAAACGCCCACGTAATTTCATATTATGTCTCCAACCTACCAGATAACGCAAACAAGATCAAAATCCGGAAATCATTTCATATTTTTGGAAAGGTGGTTGACATTTATATTGGCAGCAAAAGAGACAAATCTGGCTCTTTGTTTGCGTTTGTCAGATTTGAAGGAGTTAGAGATGCAAAGATTTTGGAGAAGGAGATGAGCAGAGTGAGATGTGAACATTGTATTCTAAAGGTAAACATTGCAAAATACCAGAGGTAGAGCAAGCTTAGGAATTATGAGAAGATGAATGCGGATCCTCCTATTCCTCCTGATAATGGTCCTCATGTTCAACCTAAGGCCTGGGAACTTAGAGGTAACAGATCCTTCGCGGATGTAGTCGCTGTTCAGGTAAATACATCGCCCTCCCCTTTATTCCCTGTCATTGAATTAAAGCCTATTGAGAGAATTAGGAATTGGGACGAGTGTGTTTTGACGGGTGAAGTGCACAATGCCCAATATATTACTGAAATCTCCACCATCATGCACATTGACGGAAATGCAAGTGGAAAAGTGTATTACACCGGCGGTTTAAGGATATTGATTAAATTCAATAACAAAAAAGAAGTTGAATCATTTTACGTCAATAACTCAAACTGGAACAGGTGGTTCAAGTGGTTGAAACGAGGTTTTGAGGATGACAAAGAGGCTGATAGGATCACTTGGGTACGAATTCACGGTGTTTCGGTAAGATTCCGATCTGAAGCAAATTTTGCACATATTGCTGGGGTATTTGGAAAGGTACTTGAAACTTTTAGGGTCAATTGGAACGTCTTTGATATCTCATCGGGGCATGTTTGTATCCTTACCAAAGCTAGAAAGCTTATCAATGGGGAAGTGGATATCAAATATAAAAATAACACATACAAGATTGGTGTGGTTGAATACGACAGAGATTGGAATTCGTTCGATAACAACGCACTAAATAAGCAGTTTGAGCATTATAATGAAGTATATGGAGGCAACGATAATTTGGATTCAATGAATTCCATGGATAAAGTGTCGTCGGATTGTGATGAAGATGCAATCTCAGCAACTTGGGAAGACCTAGGCAAAAATCAAGAAGAACCTGTGGATGGTGAAATAGTAGAAGAAATGTTGGCCGACAAATCGATCCCATCTCCCGTACCGACAACTGGTGGTGGTGGTGGTGAAGATACGTTAATGGCAGAAAATGATTCGTCTCCAAATATTCATATCCCTGGTAACTCCGAGACTGTCGGTGTGGATATGACCCGATACAATCAACCCAACAAGTCCAATGAAGTTAGCACATATAGACCCATCCATACTATTCCCCTACCTGGTGGTGAATTTGGCCCACTTCCCCAGAACTGACCCAAGACAATGAAATATCTTCGCATTTTGAAATTGGGGGATCAATTGATAAAAGAAGGAGAATCATACAACACCCATCCAATACTGGAAATCAACCTTTTAACTGCAATATGAGACAACTAGCTCTTACTCCTGAAAACCAGTTGGATGGTGGTATCCCGACAACTGCAACTGCCCCCTTAATCGATTTGAACCTCACTGCCTCAAGCCATGGATCGAATGGGAACTCCACCCAGGATGATGATAGATTGATCTCAAATGAGATTTCTAGTGTTGTACTTGTGGGTCAAGAGGTTGGCTTTCAGATCTCGAAAGAAGACCCAATTATCATGGAAGTGGCGAATATCGGAGAGGGTGGTATGGAAATCCCTCGATGAATTGTTTATGTCTAAACATCAGGGGGTGTGGGGAAACCCATAAAATCGACTGGATAAGAAGATTAAAAAATTCACAAAATGTCGACTTCATTGGTTTACAGGAAACGTGGGTCGCTGACTCTAATGATATTGAAATCACTGGTGCTTGGGGTAATTCTGATTATGAAGTGGAGTTTGTAAACCCGGTAGGAAGATCAGGGGGGATTATAAGCATTTGGGATCCTCACATTTTTGTCAAATCACACACAGTATCATCTAGACCCTTCTTGGTCGTATCAGGTCAATGGGTGGGTTTTCCGGGTACCACAACTTCGGTTAATGTATACGGACCACAATCTATTCCAGACAAAAGAAAGTTATGGGCTGATCTTCTCAACTTAAAAAGGAGTATAGATGGAATTTGGATACTTTTTGGTGATTTCAATGTTGTAAGATATGAACATGAAAGAGTAAATTCCAGATTCTGTCGAACCACTGCGGCTGACTTCAATAACTTCATCTCAGAAGCAGGTCTACATGAATTCAACCTTGGGGGAAAAAATTTACTTACATGTGCGAGGATGGGATAAAACTAAGTAAGTTGGATAGATACCTGGTCTGCTCAAATTTCATAAACCACCAGCCTCTTACCACGGTTATCGTGTTACCTCAAGAACATTCAGATCATACCCTGTTGGTTCTCAAACCTTCAAATCTGGATTTCGGTTCACCTCCCTTCCGTTTCTTTAACTCTTGGATACACAGGGAGAATTTTGAGGTGACATAAGAAAATGGAGAAGCATTGATTCTGCCAAGGAATCGAAATTATTGGCCCAAATGAAGAAGAAAGTTGATGACTTTGAAGAAATAGCTGAAGTCAGGAGGTTATCAGAGGTGGAATCAGCTGAAAGGAGAGAATGCGAAGGTAAAATCCATGAACTTGAATATTTCACAAAACTGGACATCCAACAAAAAGCCAAAATACGTTGGATAGTAGATGGTGATGACAATTCGAAGTATTTTCATAACGCGATAAAGTGCAAAATCAGGAAAAACAAGATACATGGATTGGTAATTAATGGGAGGTGGAGTACTGATCCAAGCGAAATCAAACGGGAGGTGCATAAATTCTTTGGTAAGAAATTCGAAGACAAGTGGCCGGTAAGACCTAAACTAATCAGTGACGAATTCAAATCACTCACCTTGGATCAAAAGGAGTTCTTAGATGAACCGTTTACTCAAGAAGAAATAAAACAAGCCATTTGGAATTGTGGTGGTGATAAATCTCCTGGTCCTGATGGATATACTTTCAAGGTGCTGAAAAACAAATGGGAGGTAATCAAATGTGACATCATCCACTTTGTATCATACTTTGAAACTCATGGTATATTCGCGAAAGGTTGTAATTCTTCCTTCATTACCCTCATTCCAAAAGTCAAAGACTCGTTGAATCTCGGAGATTATAGGCCTATCAGTCTCATAGGCTGCATGTATAAGACTGTTTCCAAGATACTTGCAGTGCGACTAAAAACTGTGGTAGGTTCTGTGATCGACGAAGTGTAGTCAGCATATATAGAAGGGAGGCACATTTTGGAAGGGCCATTATGAAGGGTTTTGAGCATTCTAACACTCCTATGGTGTACATGCAACCCTAGAAACCTGGGATCTATGTTTGACTAAGATACATGCAAATAATTATTTTTCCAAGGTTCTTATCCTAACTAGCATGGCATGGGGTACTTGAATCAAATAAAACTAGTAGAATTACTTACCTTGTAGTAGTAGTTGATTGCTTGGAGTTTGAGAGCCTAGCACCAATAATGTGGATGCCTCAAATGGAAGTCACAAATCACCACAAACTTGGAAACTTGAGAGAATAGTCACAAACTTCTTGAAATCGGCCCTCTTAGTTTACACACATCAACTAGTCCTATTTCAAGAACCAAAGCCTCCTTTATATAGTGTGGTGGATTAGGGTTACATCCATGTAAACCCTAATACCCATGTCTTTTCATTTCCATGAGATCCATGGGTTAAAGCTCCATGGAGTATCCATGGACTTTCCATGCAAGCCTAGCCCATTCCAAATAAGCATTAGCCCACACTATATAAATACAAGAGCCCATATTTAATTAGTCATACAAGAGCCCATATAAAATAATATAATATTATATATTATATTAATATATAATATAATATATTAATATATTATAATATATTAATTTATAATATATTATAATATAATATATTATAACACTAATATATTATAAGCTCTAAATTAATTCTAAATTAATTATAGATCAACACTAATTAAATAATATGATTTTATATTAATATATTAGAGCTTATAATATATTAATAAATCATAACTTATACTACTCTCAAAAGATTATCCGTAAATTGTTCGGGTGAAGTGCAACCCAAATGGACCATGCCGAGTCGGGTCAAGTACATACCAAATATAGTTATGGACTTAGACACTATCTCCAACAGTCTCCCACTTGGATAAGTCTAATAACTATAGTTGCAAGTATGACTTCAGGAACCGATCAGCAATCGTAGCTCTTAAAACTCTGTTGAACTATGAAGCGTCATTTTAGATAAGTGATCATATAATCCTCTGTTCTAGATATCAGCCGGACAAATACATGGAACATGGTCTTGCTTATTGTCCAGCATTTGTTTCCTGATTTCCGATTTGTTTGACATAGAATCAACTGAACACATCAATTTAGTTCGGACCGGGCCCGGTACATAGGTCAAAACAAAATCATCGAGGGGCCCAAATATCGCTTCTAATCCTAGAAGGAACAGATAAACTTCGACTCATATGTTTGCTCTACTACTTGTTGAATTACACACAAAAGCACGGTTTATAACATCGAGTTACCAATGCGTTTTCGTGCAATCAATGCATAACCAACTCATAGGCAACAAATCATATCTCTAGGTTTGAAGACTTATATGATATTACCGTCTCACGATCACTCGAGATAAATTCCATGAAGTGATACAAGTGAGCGTGGGTTGAATCCAATACTCAGAACTTATGAGCACTCATGAGTGCTGTAGCCCCGCTTTGTCTAACATCTTAGACCACTACAAGCCAACCCATGACAGTCTTGATTCATATCTACTTCCAACATATGACCGACTATGGAGAGTTTGAATAATATGATATAAACCATAACATAATTATTCTGGAAGTCAAAACATGCAAAAAGAAATAATAGTAAGCGATTGACAAGAGATAGCAACACTTTACTCATAAATAACAGCTTTTATTTATCATCAAATGTCAATTACATTTTACAAATTTCAAGATTATCTAACTACTAAAACTAATATCATCCTTCAGCCCTATGCTCCGAGCATGCTAGAGATGCTTAGCCCGAGTCAGTCCCTTCGTGAGGGGATCTGCTTACCCTCTTTGCCACGAGGATTCCTTCTTCTATTCGATGTCTAATGAAGTGATATTTTCTGTCAATGTGTCTGGATCTCCCATGATCTCTTGGTTCCTTGGCTAAGGCAACCGCACTATTGCTGTCACAGAAAATCTCCATTGGCTCCTTTATAGCTGGTACAACTCCAAGGTCTCCGATGAAGTTCTTTAGCCATATAGCCTCCTTTGCTGCCTCGCTTCCCTGCTATATACTCTGATTCACAAGTGGAATCAGCCACTGTCTCCTGCTTGGAACTTTTCCAAGTAATTGCCCCTCCGTTTAGAGTAAAGACCCAGCCCGACTGAGAGCGGAAATTATCCCTGTCAGTCTGAAAGCTAGCATCACTGTACCCTACAACTCTCAAGTCCTCACTGCCACTGAGGGTAAGGACCCAGTCCTTAGTCCTCCGTAGGTACTTGAGGATATTCTTTACCGCAGTCCAGTGTGCCTTGCCAGGGTTCCCCTGATACCTGCTAACCATGCTCAAAGCAAAGGCATCATCAGGTCGAGTACACGTCATAGCATACATGATCGATCCTACAGCTGAAGCATAAGGTATTCGACTCATTTCTGCTATCTCAGCCTCAGTACTAGGGCTTTGTGTCTTACTCAATCTGGCGTTACTCTGGATGGGTAACTCTCCTTTCTTGGAGTTATGCATGTTGAACCTTTTCAACACTTTGTCCACATAGGTGCTTTGACTAAGTCCAAGTACTCTTTTACTCATGTTTCTCAAAATCCTTATCCCTAGGATATAGGCAGCTTCTCCAAGGTCCTTCATAGCGAAACACTTCCCAAGCCAGGACTTTACTTCCTGCAGGGTTGGGATGTCATTTCCTATGAGTAGTATGTCATTCACTCCTTGAAAAGCCAAATTCTTTGACTTTCTCATCAAAGCAAATATTCCATCTGCGAGGTGCCTATCTTAATCCATAAATGGATTTCTCGAGCTTACACACTCTACTGGGGTACTCTGTACTGACAAAACCCTCTGGCTGAACCATGTAAACATCTTCAGCCAACTTTCCATTAAGGAAAGCGGTTTTGACATCCATTTGCCATATTTCATAATCATGAAATGCAGCAATGGCTAACAGAACCCTAATAGACTTAATCTTGGCCACTGGTGAAAAGGTCTCATCATAATCAACTCCTGGAGTTTGAGAATAACCCTTTGCAACCAGTCGTGCCTTATAAGTGT